TACAACTTTACAAATAGCTCACTGGAAGGGGAAAGTCTAAAATACAAGTTAAAACAGTGCTCTCAACATCCTTGTGGACTTTAATTACCAATGCATGCCTTTGCTTTTTAGTCATGTAAGAAATATGCCACTGCTACATTCATTGTTCCAGGAAGAAAAACGAGGTCAGAATTCAGGAAAACTGTCTACAATCGCTAAGCTGTTAAGACAGAAGTACTGGAGGCGTGCAGGCTGAATGAGGCTGCAGGGATTACTCCGGATCCACTCGTCAGGGGAAAACTGATTCATCAGCAGACTCTCCATGGTCCCCGATGGCCTTCTAAGACCACTCCACACCAAACAGATCCCTGTTCCCAAAGTCCACTCCCTGATTTCCGTTTAATTCAAAGAAGGATTGGGGTGGGGGGGAGAAAGAAGGAAAGGAAGGAAGGAAAGAAGAAAGAGTGAAAGGAAGACAGAAAAAAAGAAAGGAAGACAGAAAAATATATAGATCTATTTCACCTCTGAGTGAGCTCACAAAGCCCACTGCAGCTCCAGAGTACGTAATGGAAAGAACAAACAGAACATGTCACCCAAGAGGGGCCCCTCACAGCTAAACAGATCTGTTAAATCAACCACAGGTCGGTTAGAGAGAAGACCACAACATCACATCAGTTTTTCCAGTTCATACCTTAATGGTGTGAATGATAAGTTAATTATTTTTCTTTAAAAAAAAAAAAAAGAAAAAAGAAAAAGAATGCCTTTGTCCTAACATGACAAGAGACTAGGGTAGTCGAGGGCTAATTTGTCATATCTCGGACTATTCATCTCCATTCTCCGGGGCCACCTCCATTCTTCCCAGCTACCTGGGGACCGCTCCACACTCGCCACTTCTGATTTTCATAAGTCTACTCTGGAAGTACTTTCTCTCCAGTGTAAGACTGGGTCAGATGCCATCTAATGCTTTTTCCACTAAAAGTTTATCAGTAAACTCACATGTACTAAATAATATCACTGTCAACTTGTTCATGAAAAATTACACACTGATGGGATGTAGTGGCTTGTCTACATACAGTCTTCGAGGTTCTGGGATTACTCCCAAGTACAACGACAACAATAACAAAGATTAAATTTAAAGAAGAAGAGAGGTAAATTTTAAGTAGAGCTCAGCCAGATGAAAACTACCAGCAGCAGAGGAGGACGTAATATTCGGACAGTTCCCTAGGATACCACTACGTGGAGGGTTTTAACACCAACTTATTCTGCTATGCTGCAGGATATTTGATCACACTGTGAACCCAGAGACTGTGTTATTTACTGAAAAAAATGTTTCTGTCAGCACTTAGTACACACCTTTCATCCCAAACAACGAAGGTAAAATTAGTTTGTAGAAGTTAAGTTTGTAGAAGTACCATGTTTGAAAGTGATGTCTAATGCCGGGCGGTGGTGGCGCACGCCTTTGATCCCAGCACTTGGGAGGCAGAGGCAGGCGGATTTCTGAGTACGAGGCCAGCCTGGTCTACAGAGTGAGTTCCAGGACAGCCGGGGCTATACAGAGAAACCCTGTCTCAAAAACCAAAAAAAAAAAAAAAGAAAAAGAAAAAGAAAAAGAAAAGAAATTGATGTGTAAATGAGTGGCAAACAAAGTGATGAGTCAGAGAAAGATTTGACAGAATATCAACTTAAGCGAGAGCAGGGCAGAGGAAGGGAAGAAAAAGGTGGTTTTACCAGGATTGTTTCACAGAGACAGGTTGAAGACAGAATGAAGTTAGACACAGGTGAGGACAGAATAGGCCAGATAACAAGAAGGAGTCAGAAGAACCAAACAGATGGCAAAAGTTAGTATGAGGCCAAGCAGAGCAATTCAGTAAGAAACTGAGAGAAACTAGATTCCGTCAGTCAGCTCAGAAGGGAGTTTGAGCCAGAACAGCTGAGTTGAACCAGCCAGCCAGAGCTCAGAAAGAACTAGAAAGGGGGAGCTTATTGAGCCTTAAGCCTCAGAGGCTGAAAACATTCTAAGCCTAGGTAAGATTCTAGGATAGCAACTACATCAGTCGAATGTAAGTTAACTTTACACTTCTTTCTCTCTCTACCTCTTTCTTTCCATTCTTTCTTTCTCTCTCCTTTTCTTCCTTCTTTCCCTTCCTTCCTTCCTTCTTTCCCCTCCCTCCCTTCTCAGACAGGGTCTCACTATGTAGCTAGCTCTGGCTGCCCTGGAAGTGGTTATGTAGACCAGGCTGGCCTCAAACTCACAGAGATCCACCTGCCTCAGCCTTACAAGTGCTGGGATTGAAAGTGTGCTCCATCACACCTAATCTTCTGATATATACCTAAAAGACAGCAAACTTCCAGTATGAACCATCTTAAAAAATCAGGCCTGAGCAGGGGGAACAGCAGATGGCTACACCTATATAACAAGGCAAAACTTCCCACAACAAAGGTCAGCAGACAAATGGAGCATGTCCACAGCCCTTTCAAAACTGTAGGCAATTCACAAGTCTCAAGGAGCAGATCATTAAAAAAATTAAAATAAAATAAAAAATAAAAATTAAATAAAAAAAAAACTTGAATTCAGCAGCATTTCCACACATCCTATGGCTCTGACTGGTACATACTTTGTGGGAGAAGAGAACTGTATTGCAGGTAGCCTGTGATCATTTTATGTTAACAGTTAAAATATACTGTTCCCTCTCTCTGTGGAGTTTGTCTACTTTTTGCTTAACCCCTCTGGCTACAGCAAACTTAGCTACCCTCTCAAATATAAGCTTAAGGTAGTCTTTTAAAGGGACAGGAATCACTAAAACTGCAGTTGGACTTCCTATGCAACTCACTGACTGGAATAAGCTCTAAGATAGTCCCCACCCACCCCACACCGAGAACCTGTCAGCTTCTTTTTATAAATGTCTCCAAGCTGCTGGCATCCATTTCACTGTGCTATTAGGGTAGTCGGGTGCCTAACTTGAGATAAAGTGACAAACGCTCTAGAAATCGGGCGGTCCTTACTATGCTTTGATTTTCTCCAGCCCTAACACAGCTGCTCCAGAGAACTATCTCAAGTTTATTCTGTGAGAACACTGTTTTTTTTTAATTAATAATAATAATAATCAGATTTTCAAAAGATAAAACCATTAATACCATTAATTAAGCCATAAGCTTCATAGTGAAACATGCTTACTATGGTTAAGACATAAGCCACATACGAATTTAGCAACACCTATTAAATATCATGACCTTTGGCACTGGCATTTCCCAGGTTCAGTTCAGATATCATAGAGCTGGGGGAAAGATGAGGGAAGTAATCTAATCCCTACAGCTCATGTCCCGAACTTCTGAAATAGCCTCAGCAGAAGCAGCATCTTTCGCATTTACTCTCAAGAAACCAACCCAGCTTTTTAAAAGAAAGTGCATCGAACACAATGAACAAATGAGAAGGGACTCAAGAGCTACACAGTTAATGTGGGCAGCACACGCACACCCTGGGAAACTCTGAGGTATGGTGCCCATGTTTCAGAATAAAAAGACAAGGTGACACTCAATATCTCTTTTAAGGAAAAAAAAAATATATAAAAAATGAGCTTCCAGGCCTGGGCCAGGTACAATGGCCAGGCCTATAATCCCAGCCTGATTATATTTTTTATATTTTCCTTCTTTTTCTTCTCTTATTTATTCCTTCCTTCCTTCCTTCCTTCCTTCCTTCCTTCCTTCCTTCCTTCTCCTTTCCCCCTCACTCAGTCACTACGTAGGCCTGGCTGTCCTGGAACTCACTATTCTAGATCAGGCTGGCCTTGAACTCATGAGATCCACTTGCCTACCTCCTTTGTTGAGATTTCTATGCCCAGAAAAAAAATCAAGCCAAGAATCTGAGTTCCTAACCAGCCAGGCTTATAGAGTAAAAGTCCAGTCTGTCTCAAGAAAAAAAAAAATTGAACTTATTTACTCTAAATATAAGGCAATTTCTCCTTTAGGGTAGAAACTTCCATGCAATAAACCTGGTTCTAGTACCTTCTAACACAAAGACAGGAAGAATGAGTGCAGGGAAACCTGTGGCTTAAAGGCAGCCACAGAATGGCTCCTTCGCTCTCCTCTTAAGGCAGAACTGACAGCCTGAGAGGAAAGAAACAGGAGACTAAAACTCCACTAACCATGGCTTCTCAAGGTAAAAGAGTATAAAATCCTGCCGTGAGATCATTTCCTGCCCTCAACCCATGGTTGTGGTACAAAGGGAAATCTAAAAGGAAATAAACACTGTCTTCAGAATGTTTCAGAATGTTCATATTAATCCCACTGCTGTGGTGTCCCCTGCTGAATCACCCTCCTTACATGAAATAATGTTCCTGCTACATCAGTAACTAAACTTTTAAGAACTATAAAGGCATAGTGATGCATGCCTTAATTCCACATCAAAGAGGCAGAGGCAGAGGCAAGTGGATTTCTGTGAGTTCAAGGCCAGCCTGATCAACACACTGAGTTCTAGGACAGCCAAAGTTACACAGTGAGACCCTGTCAGAAGAAGGAAAAAGGGAGACGGGAGGGGGAAAAACCAAAGAAGGAAAGAAAGAATAGAGGAAAGAAGGAAAGGATGGAGGACAGGAGAGAGACAGAGAAAAGGAAGGAAGGAAGGAAGGAAGGAAGGAAGGAAGGAAGGAAGGAAAAAAATATAACCAGACAGCAGAATTGGGCCTTTGCTTTTCCATTTTCTTTCCCAGACTCCTGCCTTCTAACAGGACAAACTTGGCAGGAGCAAGGAAAGCACTCGGGCATCTCAATGAACTGGACAAAGTAAAGTCTAAATGAACAAACTCTGGCACGAATAAATGAGGCAGTCTTTAAGAATCAAGGAGCCAAATGGAGGCTTTTGAGGAGACATTTCCATTTTAAAACATGAGGTACTAAAAGCTCGTGGGCATCATAAGGCATTATTATTCCGAGGATCTCTCAAACAGGAATTTTAAGCGTTGTTCGTACACAGCCGTGAGCACACAGAGACAGCATCCATACTTCACTGTACAGTTACTACTCACTTGCTTCCTTCTGTAATGAGCAAACTGAGAGAGTCCCAAAATAGTGGCCAGAGCTCCTCCACCCACAAGAATAGTCCCTTTCACTGCCTTTTGAAACGCCATTGCTCAGCCTACAAAGAAAAAAAGAAAAAGAAAAAGTTAATTTTGTTGCATAACAGTCTTAATCATAGGCAATTGTACAGATTATAAAACTATCTTAAAGTAGACAAGGAAACATAAAATGAGAAGATTCCTGACATAACAATGGGTATACCATAATCCAAGAGCAGTAACTCCAAAAAAAAAAAGGACAAGGAAATTGATTATGAAAACGTTACATTCAGAGCTGACTGGAATTAAAGAAAGAAATGCAAATTAAGAGACAACTCAGGGTATTTAAACAGTATAAAGTCAAGAGAGCTGTGAAAAGAAATGTCATTGTGGATTTGACAAAACTACAAGCTGTACTTGCGATTTTGTTCCACAGCTAATCCCCTCCACAAGGGAAACTGGTGGGAGTCCTGGGTCATTCAACAGGACAATAAACCTCAGGCCTACTTCAGGTTTCTTGGGCCGTGGGTTCAATTCAAACTCTGAGACAACTTTCTGGAGTTCTCCCTTCTTGATGTAACTCTCACAGAAGCCAAAAGCCAAGACACTGAGATTTCCATCACTAAAACAGTGGACACTTTACAGATAGGAAGTCAACAGATGGCAGGCCCTGATCCTCTAACAGAATGATAACTTAACATGCTATAACTCCTTTTGTTAATGGAGTTTAAAGTGGGAGAAGTGGGGAACAAGAAAAGGAGGGAGGTTTTCCTCTAGTCAGTGACAGGCCAGCAGAGGCCAGGAGAAAGCTCTTTTGTGTTCACAGGGTATTGCTAAACAAAGTGCTGTATTGTGTGAGGGCTTGCTTTCTTCTCCCTTCTTTTCTACTACTGGATTGATTGGATTTTTTTTTTATTTCTGTTCTTGGGGATTTAAAAATATTTTCTGACTTCCTTAGAAGCCAAAACCATTGCAAGGAATACAAATCCCATCAAAATACTCTGGTCTACTTTTATTCTGTCAAACATAAAATGATAACACTATGTGAGCATTTTTTTTTAATTTAGGAGTAAGTAATTTGACCTGCCTAAACCTTTCTCCTTCCATTCACAAAAGCAGCTGGCACACCCAACCTCTTAGAAGGAAGTTATTACTCTATTTTCCCGAACGGGTAGTGATCAGACCTGTGTGAACAAGTCACTTGTGCCTGAATAATATGGAACTTAAGAGCTTGCTAAGTTTAAAGGTAGTTTTAACTTAGAATACAAAAAAGAAAAAAATTCAATATAAATTATAATTATATGTTGGGTTCCATGTTGAATGTAAAATATCTGTTCTACTTTCCTAAATTAAAAAATTTCAATAGAGTTGGTAACTAAATTCTACACAGAACTCATTTTGAAATACTATAAATTACACACTAAAATAGAAGCTGGCATTTCTTAATTTTTTTTTCTTTCTGATCTTCTCCTTCACAAACTCCAAAACTCCAACATAGGGTATTATTATTATCATCATCATTATTAACATTCTTACCCAGGGAACTCTTTAATATAAATACCCTGACATTGGAGGTCTCTCCTTTATTATCTTTGTTGATGCAAGTTAGAAAAGAACAGGAAAAACCAAGGGACAGAGGAAGGGAAAGAGGGCCTTCCCTAAGAATGGCTGAAGCCCCACAGTAGCTAGAGAACAAGATTTCTGATCAACATTTGCTTAAAAACATCCTTCTCCATCAGGAAATCTGCAGTTTTCTAAAAATCTCAACCAAAACACACTTACAGTAGAAGGGTATGTCCTGACTTCCTTGCACAGTCCCTTGGGTTTCACTGTAAACTCTAATCCTGTCCAAGGAACCTCTAGAGTCATTCTACAATCTGGCTTATCAGAGAGGTAAAGGAGAGGGAGGACACCGAGAGGGGAGGAAAAGGAGGGGAAACAAGTTTCTTAGCATTCCTTTGAGACTGAAGTTGAGAGGCACCAAAATAGTACAAACAGCTTCTGGCAAGCGACACTGTGCACCTCATCCTTAAAGATCCTTTATTCATACTTGGATGGTTCTTATCCATTGCCTGTGCTTCTCTCCCTTGACCTCTGAGAAATCCATGAAGAATGTCTTTTCATAAACTAATTCTTGATTGAGACATGTACATCCCTGCTCTTAGTGTTCTATGAGCACTTTTCTATTTTTCATAAACTCTATTTCACACAGACTTAGACAAATACTTCTTTGGCCAAAGCTATGAATCCCGTGCTGACCTGAGTCAAGGTCCCTAAAAGCATGAGGGAACGTCTCGGGCTGCTTCAAGCAGTGGTGTGAAGCTGTGTTTTCATCAGCCGCCACTGACACTTTCCCTACATAACCATCTATTGTTGCTCAAACTGTGTTTGCTGGTTAAGGAAGTCAAATACTCAGTCACTCATAGGCTAAACCTTATCCTCTTTAAAACTCAAAACTATACAAAAGCAGATACCCATTTGTCACGAAGCCTTACATTGTTTAAGATGCTGAGACAACTGTTCATGTGGGTGCCAGTCTCAATAAGAGAACTCATAGGGACCCTGAGACAGCCTGCTATCAGACAGTGAGTTTGATCAACTCAAGACAAGAGATTTAGAGTCCTAGTTTTATTTACCTAAACAGTGCGAGTGCCTACCCCATATAGACAGAAGCCTGGTTGATGGTCCATTGGATGTGACTGTGGTGGATGGTTTGACTTGGGGTGGTAGCACTACTTGTCTTGCTGATAACGTCATTCATGACCTCACAAAGGAAACCACACATCATCAAGGACAACTGTGGGGTGGTACACAGAAGTCAATGAGAATGTCTCAGCGTTAGGTGTTGATCCATTCAGCCAAATAAGAGTAGGGCTGATTCTTCCTAAGTGTGGCTTTCCTACCCTCCTAATTTTATCTTTCAATTTAATTTTCCTATACTAAAATTCACAAAACATTAGTCTTAATAACCCACTAATACTAAAAAAAACCTATACTCATAACACTACAAATTCTAAAAAAACTATATTCATAACACTAGAGTTAGCAATAATTTTCACTGTAGTCATCTTTTTTTATAATCCCATGCAGTAACTGAAAGATCATTTCTACTGAGGCCCTGTCTCAAAAAAAAAAAAAAAATATTATTTCTACTATAACCAAATCCCTCTATAAGGTCACCTAGCTACCTGTAATGAGTAAAACACACTCATAGATAGCACAAAAACTAAAAGGTAAACTGTTCGGTCCAGTTATCCTAAATTCAGAGTTGATATGTTTCTTTTTATTAAGAATGTCAAAATGGAACTGGATGTGACTGTACAGGTCTGTAATCACATCGGTTAGGAGGCAGTAGCAGGCCTGCCTCTATTAGTTCCAGGCCAGCCAGGTCTGTAAAATGAGACATTGCGACAAAAATACTTAAAAAAAAAAAAAAAAGGCACAATGGCAACAGCAGTCACACCTGGAGAGGCTGCTTTACTTCTCAGATATTAACTCATTTCATCTTAAAACATCCAGTTTCATTAGCCAGGTGGTGGTGGCACACGCCTTTGATCCCAGCACTTGGGAGGCAGAAGCAGGCGGATTTCTGAGTTCGAGGCCAGCCTGGTCTACAGAGTGAGTTCCAGAACAGCCAGGGCTACACAGAGAAACCCTGTCTCCAAAAACAAACAAACAAAAAAAAACCATCTAGTTTTAAGTTGGCAAGATGACTCAGTGGGCAAAGAGCTTGCCTCAGAAACACAAGGAAAGGCTTCAGATCTCCTGAAGCCACATAAAAGGCAAGATTCGGTAGCATTCGTCTACAACCCTAGCTCTCCTGAAGGGAAATATGAAGTGGAAAGAGAAGAATCTTCCAAAAGCTCACTGACCAACTACCTGGATATATGAAGAAGAAAAGCAAAAGGCCCTATCTCAAAGTGGAAGGCAATGCCTGAAACCTGAAGTTGTCCCCCAACCCACCAGCCACCACACACACACACACACACACACACACTGGCATACACACACTATGTCATTAAAAGTCATAGGGAGAACCTCTAGCAAAATATCTGCCAATAGCCTTGGGCCAAATATAGGAAAAGCCTAGCTTTAATGTTCAAAGAAATTTACTTAAAAGCAATAAATATAAACCTTACACCATCAACATATATCCATTACATTACCTTATAAGGAAAAGAGTTTCATGGTGCTTACAAAGAAAAGATTATTTACAAGTATCAATTGTAAAAGTAATAAAAGGGGCAGAAGAGATGGCTCAGCATTCAAGAACCTGTCTGCTCTTGCAGGAATTCTCAGCACCAACCTGGTGGCTTACAACCTTCTTGAACTCCTGTGCCTAGGGAAGGAATCCAAATGCCTTGGCACCAGGCATTCAAGTGGGTATACAGACATACATGCAGGAAGAACATCCGTACACGTAAAGTAAGATTTTTAGGTAATAAAAGCTGCAACCAAGAAGATAGCAAATAATATGAGACAGAATAGGAAATGAGGAAAAATGAAGGGGATGCAGGAATAGAAAGAAGCCGCCCACCAGGACCTGCCTTATTAGAAACTTCAACACAACCTAAAAATCAACGTTATCACAGACAGTGTTTGTTCTTATATTTTTTGTTGTGAGCCCAGCCTTTTACAGCTGAGCCATCTCTCCAGCCCGACAGTGTTTGTTCTTAAGACATTAACAATGAACATGACCACTCAGGGTTTTGTGGCCTTAAGATCAACTGTATTACCACTCTTTCACCGTGAAACTAAGCCAGGCATCTCATAAACCCACGTCAACACTTTGTTTACAAATGAAAATTCCTCAAGGGTCTGGAGAGATGACTCAACGTATTAGGGGCTCTTGCTGAGGCCCTGGGTTCTCCAGCAAGTACATACTCAGGATCACAGTTGTCTGTAACTCCAGTTTCAGGTGATGTCATCTGGCCTCTGTAGGTACCAGGCATGCATATATATGTTCCACATATATACATGCAGACAAAACCTAAAATACTCATACACTTAAAATAAAAATATTTCTTTTTCATTTTGAAGAAAAAATTTTAAAGGTAAATCAGCTCACATTTTTTCCAAA